AACCTCAGTTCCTCTACTTGCAAGCTACTTGCTAGCTGACCATACATGTTAATGGCTCATAAGCCTCAAACCATAAAGTAGATAACAATATACTTATTCTACATGGCCTTCAAGAAAATCAAATCAAATGATGCATATTAAGAGCTTTATACATGCTTAAGTAATAACAGTCACAATGATTTGGATCAATTAAGTGTAAAGTATGTGTGTTTCTCTGTGTGTGTGTGTGTGTCTGTGTTTATGTGTAACAGACATTAATGGCAAGGTTATTTTATTTGTTGTTACTATCCTAGCTTCAGTTTTATTATTTCTAAAGTAAGTGGGAAATTAGATTCCTTCAAAGGAGAAAGTTGATGTATCTAACTCTAATACTTACTTTACAAATTGTATCTAGCTACATCATAGTTGCGCATAGGAAGTGGAGTTTTGGTAGGTATGTTGACATTACTTGCACATAGTAAGAAAGTAGAATGTATCAGAAAATCTTCAGCACTTACTGATTAAATTTTTATAGCTATGCTTTACTTCAAGGGTCTGTTTAAATGACTTAACTGCACAAGGAAGAATGAGAGCACTGAGACCAATGAAATGAGTCCACAATATTCTACACAACTGAACAAGTCTCGCAGAGTTTGGTATATTCAATGGTCCAAGATATATAACCAGAAAATTAACTTATTTCATGGACCTGAAGAAATTCGCAACTTTTACTATAAGGGAAATATCAAAGACATCCCTTTTCATTATATTATGAAACTTTGTTTTAATGTATTAATTCAACTCAAGTTAATTTTTTTTCCTTTTTTATCTTTCCTTTTTTCCATTATATCAATACATAAAATTTTCAGGTCACAAGAAATGCATGATAATTACTGCAATGCAATTATCATGTTAATGTGATATTAATGTAGAGAATAGATTCAAAGTAATGCATGGTGGGATGAAAGGAGGAAGGGAAATACGGCATTCTTAAAATTGTATCTGTTAACTACATTCAACTCAAAAGTTTTTGTGTACTTTTTATGTACCAGTAACATCACAATGACCAATGGGATCACAGTGGTTTAAAAAGCAATGTTTGTGTTCAAGTTACCATCAGTTGGGAATGGCAATGAGACTTAATGAACAGGTAATTTCAGGTAAAGATGGCGAATGTCATTACATATTATGCACAAGATTCTATTGCTGCCCCAGAAAAGATCACCTAGCCCAGTGCTGGAGTTATAAGGAGATCTGAATAACGAATAGAGTTTTGCTAAGTGATTCTAGACAAAGAAACATAAGGGTCAAAGGTCCTGATTCAGAATTATGCCTATTTTGAAAACTATATAAATGGTTGCCAAAACTGGGTGTGAGGATGTAGTGGGCAAATGAAAGAATAAGGAGAGAAGCAGCATTTCATTTAGATTACATCTTGTATCCAATACTAAAGTCTGTTTTGTATTCTAGAAATTACAGATTGGCAGCTATACACAACATGCAAACCATGGATATGTTTTTCATTATTAGATGGGTTATCATATTCCAAATATATTAACATCTGTCATAAAAACTCAGATTAGAAATTCTCGTGAAAAGTCAGTAACTGACATTGGGTTGAAGTTTCCTTAGGCCTGACTTGGTTTGGAGGGCAGAAAGGTGTTTGATGGTTTACCATCCTCTTAATTTACTTCATCATGTGTTTATATAACCTGCTGGGACAGCAAGGCAATTCAAGATGCAAGCTGCTTTAGCAGTGTCTACAGAATGAAGTTCCTTGCATTAGTCTGTTTACATATTTAATAATGTGTTGGAAATATCAGGGCTGGATTCAGGGGCACAATTTAGGATATTTCTTCAGTAATTCAAATAGTTATGACAGATCAGTAGATGCTGTGATGGATGATCGAGAGTGAGGAAAGTGAGGCTTTCTAAGGCAGCAATCATGGGACAGATGATGTGGTAGGCACAGAAGGGGAGGTAGAGGTAAGAGTAAAGGATGATACAGAAGATTCTAAGTTAGCCAACTTGAGAATTGTCTCAGTTTAGGATCTGCAAGAAGTACTCACAGTAAAAATCAGAACTTTGGGCTTAGTATTGGGGTGTAGCAGGATTAAACTGCCTCCTGCAACAACGGCATCCCATGTGGGCATTAGTTCAAGACCTGGCTAATGCAGTTCCCTATTAATATGCCCAGGAAAGCACTAGAAGATGGCCCAAGTGCTTGGGTTCCTGCACCCACGTGGGAGACGCAAATAAAGCTCTGAATTGCTGGCTTCAGCCTGAAACAGCCCTGGCTATTTTGGCCATTTGAGGAATGAACCAGTGGTTGGAAGATTCTCTCTCTCTCTCTCTGCCTTTCAAATTAAAAAAAAAACAACCTTTAAAGGGAGGAAGGAAGAATGGAAGAAAGAAAGAGAAAAGAAATGAATCAGATCTGCAATCAGTTTCTTTTGTTGATATGACTGAGACAAATTGAAATAAGGAGTAAGACAAAAATCATAGGGAGTTTTCAGATTGAGACAGGTTAGGCATCTGTTGCTTTGTCTTAATGTCCCCCTGTTGAAACTTAATGCCTGTTGTGGAAATATCAAGAGATGGGGCTGTTTGGGAAGCGATTGAGTCATGAGGGCTTTGCATCATAAAGGCTTAAAGATCTGCAGAGAACTAGTTTAGGCATTATTGTTTTTCCATTTGTTTTTCTTCCTTTACCCAAATAAGAACACAGCATTGTTTTTTTCTTTTTTTTTCTATCATTAGACCCAATTGCCAGCATCTTAAACTTGGACTTTTTACCCTACAGAACTGTGAAAAATAAATTTATATTCTTAATAAATTAGTCCATGATATTTTGTTATAGCTGCTCAAATAAGTTATGACACCTGTGAAAGTAAAGAGGCTTGGATAGGATTGTAGTGGAGTGAATTAATAGAAAGCAACTCAGACTACAGCAGCTTTAAGAACATCAAGCAGTGTTAACCTGAGCAAAGTGGCTCAAAGGTGAAGTTTTAGCCTAGTGGTTAAGATTTCAGTTAGGTTGCTTGCATACTGAATCACAATGCCTCAGTGGGTTTGAATTCTAGCTTCAATCTCAATTCTAGCTTTCTGAAATGCAGAAATGAAGGGGTGACACTAATGACTCAAGTAACTGGATTCTTGCCACTCATATGGGATACTTACATTGAGTTCTTGGCTTGTAGCTGGTGTGGGCATTTGGTGAGTGAATCCACAAATGGGTTCTGTCTCTGTCTCTCTGCCTCTCCGTCTCTCTGTCTCTCTCTCTCTCTCTCCTTCTCTTTCCCTCTGTGTGTGTGTTAGTATATTTTTTCTATCTGACTCTGAAATAATTTTTAAAAAATTTCAAATATAGCATATTAAGATAAGGATGTATCTATAAAAGTCACAAATAAAGATATGTGGCTCTTTACACACTATCAGATAAATTTATATATATATATATATATATATATATTTACCACTGGATTTTCTCTTCCAAAGTTTCACATTTACTTCTTCAATATCCTTCATGTACAGTATGAATTCAACAAATTACTGATGTTAAGCTGAATACTCACTCCCTATTTTTACTATCAGTGCCCTTGTTTGTACAAACACTGTGAAGCTATGTTTTATGGTTTGCTTTGACTCATACTTTTTCAAAATTCTCATATCAAATTTATGTGTAAGCATAGCATGCTTCCCAATCTTTTTATTTCCATCCTAAGGCCTTAACCTCAAGCCCAGAATATGAAAATAAATGTCTAACATTTTAGAGTTTACTCAACCAAAGTTCTCCCACAAGCCATTTTCAAATTGCCATTAGCATTGTCTCTAGAGCATTTGGAGGATTATTTAGCAAATATCCCATTACAAATTATTCTATACTCCACCCACTGTGATGAGATGCGAAATCTCTTTCAAAAATTCAAATCTAATTTCTTTTATTGCTTCCCTTTACCACTCACATCTATGTGGTAATCATAATCACTTAAAATATTTCATCTGAATTGTGAGTTAGCTTTTTGGATTTCCACTTATAGTTCTTTTCATTAGATGGTCTACAAATGGCAATGGATGTACTTTGTACAAAGTATCAGGTTTATTTTAGCTTATGGTTTACTGTTGCATTTGATTAGCATTTATTTTTGTTTTATACGGCCTGGGCATAATTCCCTCATTTTTCCCTAAATGATATTCTGAATTCCTTTTGAATGTGAACGACTCTGATAATCCTCACTTACACATAACCCCACCCACTAGTTCCAAGGGCAAGCACAGGATTGAGTACTTACAAATTTGAGTACTCTATTCCCCTGCCCAAAGTAGGGGGTTGTGACCCAAGCTAGGTCTCATGATTTCTGTTGGGATCATTTTAGACAATAAATATTTTACAGAATTAAATGTAGAATTACATTAAATAGAGTACATTTTCTACTTTGTACAAAGATAGGAGGACTCTTCAAAAACTTAATGGAAAAAACACATTATTAAACTAAAACTATATATGGATTTCTATTTTTTGTACCAAAATAAAATTGTCTTCTATTTTTTCCACAGGCATTTTGAAGTACTCTCATAACATGGAAATTAGGCCTGTTGGGAGAACTACAGTGTAAAGGGAAGGCATGAAATAAGACTGAGCCCTAACAACATTGTTCGAACGCCTGGTACCATTCATGCTCAGTTTTTCACTGTGAGAGATAATTACATTGGGCTAAAAATTTCCTTTTGTTCCTTAAGTTAATTTTCTTGGTTTTTGCAACTTATAAGCAAAGGAGAACTTCCTAATACAATTGTGTTCATTAACTATGAAGACAATATTTACTGGCTATCTTTCTAACTTATTAATAATAATATTTGAGCAAAGAAATGTAAATTATGTGACATGAGTCCCTCCTCACTAAAGGAGAAAAAAGAAACAGAAGCATATTTTTTATGGCTGATATAATTTCATTATTTTGTTGTTTAAATAACCAATTACTTTATATATTTTTAAAAAAGCTTCAAAGACCACTTCCGTATTCCAATCTGTAAAAATATTTTCATTATGTTTATTATAAAAATATAAATGTTTCCACTACAAATCATTTTACATTAGTAAGAGGCCATCTACATTGCACAACATAAACTAAATGAGTAATGTTTTGAAAAGGGAAGTTTAACACATATTGTCAATCATATCACGTTTATAGATGGCTTAAGTGAACCTTAGTATACAGAGTGAGTTATCAGAAATAAATAATATATGTAAATCAAACTTAAGATACAAAACAGGTAATATGTTACATAACATAATGAAGGCATTGTGGGTTCACGTTTATTGAAAGTCAATGCAATTCCTGTACAATGAGATGGCCATAAGCATTCTAGTACCTCTACTCCACAGTTAAGAATCGTACACTGTTGTTTACATATATACATGGTAAGAATTGTATAAAGTAAATTTATAAGAGGTCATATATAAAATACTGAAACAATGAAGAGCAATGCATTGTGTATACAGCCTCGACGTTCAAATGAAAACCACAGCCAAAATAAGTGAAATAAATTCAACACCCTCAATTTGTATTAGTTTTTGGAATGAACAGATTTTGTTTATTATTCTTGGAATAGTAGCTAAGAAAGGAACACTAGTCTGGGAATAAGATTGAAGCCAGATTTCAATCTCATTCTAAAACACAAAGTACTTGATTTGAAAAAAGAATTTTTTTTCCAGCTGCTTCTAGCAGACTGAAGTGAAATTTGCAACTAATTTATTAATCACATGTATCTTTCTTAAAAGTTCATATAATTATTATATATCCAATATAGAATTCTAGTAGCATGATCTGACTATAGTATTGCCAAATTTTGAGAAACAATCTCATATTAGAAAGGATACAATCTATGCCTTATTACACTAACACTACAACAGTTAGCACTTGTGAATTATTATCTGTGATTGCAAGCTGTTTTTCATTAGTGTTCCATTTTGCATAAGAACACAGAAATTGCAGCATTGTTTCATCCATTCTATTCTTTTGACATATGCATTTCTCATACTCATGACATGATCATATCAGCATTAGAAAGAGTATATATAGAGCTAAGATCTTGCTTCAGAATACATTAGTAGCTAGAGCTCCACCAGAACATTATTTCCAGTATTAATGAACATGCTCATAGTTTGCCTTTATGTAACAGTAAGTCTAAATCCCTGTAGTTAAACATCCCTCCAATGCCTACAGACTTCGAGCCATTTGCTAGATGACAAGCTATTTTGAAAGTAATATGTCCAATAAATGCAAAGAAGTTCAAGTCTGTTAAGTGATATATCAAATTTACAGTAGGCACATTAAGAGGAAGACTCTTAAAGATAATGATACCTGATATTGATGCTCATAATGTTTAATTAACTAACCTAAACCACAGTGATATAAATGGGTAGTTTAGCTGTCCTCATTTCTATAAACAGCTTAGCCATTTTAACTAAAGAAGATGTTAACTGACTTTTCAAAGTCGATGAGCAAGTTTTTTTTTTTTGACTCATGCATTGGCCTACATGCTGTGTTATCAACTAACACAACAATCTACAGAGGATTCCAATTCTTTCCAGTGTCATTATTCTCAGGAGCTTTGCCATGGCTCCTTCCTGAATGGGGGAGTTGGTGGTCTCTCAGCACCAGAGCAGGAAAGACAAGTCATCTGATTAAAAATCCATTACTTATAAGCAAATATATTACACTAAATTAGAAGCATACAATTTATAATAAATGGAGAGACAACAAAGAATGGGCTAATTCAGACTGTGAGAGATTTGACAGGCAAATAAACAGGGAAAGTATTTAATTTTTCAAAAAACATAAATGTAGATAGTTCAAACTTGTTTTTTATCTAGGTAAACATGTTTTCTAGTGTTGATAATTTGCGAGAGCATTTGGCACTTGGCTGTAACAAATCCAAATTAAACCTTCAAGGCATAAATATAAAACAACAAAAAACAATTCAAAAGAAAATAAATATGCACTTTAAAAAATTAAGACACATTTTTTACATGATATTCTTAAGGAAACTAACAATTAAAAAGTGTGTAATACTTAAAAGACTTACAAATGTCATCTCTATATGCTTTAAACAGATAAAAGAGAGTAATAAAATGATAAGGTAGTAAATATGGCCAGATAATTTGAGGTATAAATTCCTCCATTTTGCTTGCTTTTAAAGAAACAAAATACTTGTTGCAGATTTCTTCTTTGTATAAAAATATCGCAAGTCTTTTTTTTTGTGGCTGTTCATAAACAAAGCCACTGTGTCCCTTTTGTATTTCCCTTGTTTTGTTTTGATGATAGTTTGGATCAATGGCTCTACGCTAGTTCTTCACTATTTTGCGCTGAAGAATTTTAATTTAACACATTAACTATTTTTTTTAAAAAAAAGCAATTACAAAGCAAAATCCCCCCCTCAACCCATCCACTAAATGATAAGGGAAAATAAAGAGTTTTTCAGTTTGATTTTAAGGCATTTGTACTCATATCTGAGTGTCTCATTGAACTTGGAACTTCCACCAACATCTCCAGGATTATCATCTGTGTTCTGAAGAGGGATGCTACATCTTCTACAGCCACCACTTCATTCCAGAATGGGTGCTTTACACTGGAACTGGACCATTCTTTGATTGTGTTTCTAGAACTTTTATGCTACTGATGATCTTCTTCTGTGGCCCAACCACGGTGACACCAACCTTTTTCATGTCACTAGGAAAAGAAGAGAAAATATCTGTGAGAATCATGATTTCCAGAATAGTAGATGATCAGAAGATTTTTACTGAGCAAAACTTACAGAATTATATAACCCAGAAAATTGGCCCCAATTTTTTGATTTTTGCACTGTCCAAGTGTTCTGTCCCGACTACTTTGCGTCTAGCGTATAGAATAATGTAGATGGTACAGGGGGTGAATAGTAACCCCTCAAGTGTCCTATCTACTCAGAACCTCAAAAGGTGACCCTGTTTAGATACATGATATTTGCAAACTAAGGCAAGGATTTAGATGATACCGTACTGGATTGGACTCATCCCTAAATTCATGAAAATTTCCTTATAGGAACAGAAAAGGAAACACCCTCACATAGAGAAGACTATTTAAAAAGAAGGCAGAGATGGGAGTGATGTTGGCACAAGCCAAAGGACACCAGAATTCTCACCTAGCTGGGAGAAAGCATCCAGCCCTAGAGACGATGGACCTAGTGTGGCCCCGCCAACATCTTAATTTCAGTGTTCTGGCCTCTAGAATTGTGAGAGACTAAACTTCTGTTAGCTAAGCCATGGTTTGTGGTAATTTATTATGACAGCCCTAGGAAACTAATACAGATGGTCACATGTTCTTTGCAAGGATTTATTTTCTTCCCTTGAATATGAGCCAGCTCAGGGACTGCTTGACTGGCAGAATATATCAAAAGGGACATTCTGTCCATTTATGTACTCGGATCTTAAGAATCTGCCTGCTCCTACTTATTTCTTGAGTCCTCCTTTATGGAGTCCCAGGACTAGCACACAAAAGCTGAATACCTGTAACAGTGGCAATGAAGAGGCTAGGTATGAGCACTTTGGCCCACAGTCCTAGCTCAGACCAACTGTACAGCCGTTTGTACCAGGCAACATTTGGATGAAGGTACCTTTGCCTCTAGACCAATCGAGTCCCTTTGTCAGCTGAAGGCTTCACTAAGTACCAGCACTTGAATACAAAGAAACATGTACCTGGGCTTTACCCAAATTCATAACATACGACACTGTGATGTACTGTAAATCTGTGGTTGGTTTAGTCTTTAAACTTTGGGGGAGGTTTTTTGGACAATATCTTTAAAATACAAAATTCTTTCAGTGTAGAAAAAATAACAAGGATATATCACTACTTTATACGTTTAAAATAGTTAAGGCATTAAAATAAAGCTAAGAACATAAAAACTTCATGTAGCGAAACAAATAACTAGCTAACCATGTACAACTTATTAATTAAATATTCTTGTCTCAAGTAATTAGTTCTTTTTTTTTTTTTTTTTTGACAGGTAGAGTGGACAGTGAGAGAGAGAGACAGAGAGAAAGGTCTTCCTTTGCCTTTGGTTCACCCTCCAATGGCCACCGCGGCTGGTGCACTGCGTCTGGTGCACCGCACTGATCAGAAGGCAGGAGCCAGGTACTTATCCTGGTCTCCCATGGGGTGCAGGGCCCAAGAACTTGGGCCATCCTCCACTGTACTCCCTGGCCACAGCAGAGACCTGGCCTGGAAGAGGGGCAACTGGGACAGAATCCGGCGCCCCAACCGGGACTAGAACCTGGTGTGCCGGCGCTGCAAGGCGGAGGATTAGCCTAGTGAGCCACGGCGCCGGCCCTCAAGTAATTAGTTCTTTTGGGCATCTCTTTCATGTCTACTCAAATATTCCCCTCTATTAGAAATGTCCTAACTGTCCAATATAATATTGCGATATCTCCCTCTATTTGCATCTGAATTTCTTATTTTTTATTTCTTGTTTTATTCTTCTCCAAAAACTTTACCATCATCTAGTATATCACCTGTATTATTCATTTTCTTTATTATCCTTTTTATTTCACAAGAAAGTGAATGCAATATGAACAGAGATTCTTGTTTATTTTGCTCTGATCCATAGCATCCTAAGAAAATGGCTGTCATTTAGCAAGGGCATATTAAAAATACATACTTATAAAGAAAAATCAAAATTGACTTTTCTGGTGATGTTGACCATGATGTAAAGTGTCATTTGGTAAGGAGTGCCAGACAAATTGAGAATGGTAAGTAAAAGCAAGCATACATGAACACACACACACATACATTACAGATGGTCTTCATTTGTATTGAGCATGAAAAAAGGGGAAAAATAGGAGTTCAACTATATAGAAATATCCTAAGTTGTTGATTTTTTAAAAAGTAGATTCCAAATCAATAAAAATGTGCAAGAAGACATCGGAGATCATTTCAGAAACAATTTACACTTTCTTTAAACATTAGCTACATGCAGTTAACTAGGATGGCAGTGCACTCCCGTCACCTAATCTGAGAATCATCTTCAGGTTCCCTCTTTCCTGCCATCTGAAGGACTGATAACTTCTCTATGCACAGCCTGCATCTTGCCTGAGGTCCTGCCCATTCACACTCCCAAGCTGCCTTCTGCTCACAGGAAAGACTAGTGGGGAGGTATGGTAACATCATGTTTGCCACCCACGGTAACTGTGGACGAGGAAAGTTTTCTTTAGTGTCACATATACTATTTCTGTTGATTGCTGACTTTGAGAAAATGTGTTACGGGAATTTGATTCTTCAGGGACCTTGAATCTATATTTAAAATGGACAAAAAGTATTTCCCCACTCATCTCCAAAATATCACAATGTCAAATTATGAGGATAGAGCCAAAACACAGGGCAGGTTGAAATGCAGTGTACAAATGAATAAATCCTCACTTTACATTAATTCTTTTATCTTTCTTTTAATAGTATATCATATATTTTGTAACTCACAGATATCTTTCATCTATCTCTTCCTTTTCCTCACTTTCATAAAGTTAGTAAAAGGATAGTCATGAAAACTAGGAAAATGTCCCAGTATAGTGCACTAATTTTCTGAGCTCTTTGAGAAATTTAAGCATAGCTGTGATGTTTGGTCCTGATTTTCTCTTCTGAATTGTAGTACTCATCTCCATAAGATATCAGATGCTGGGAATTCACAGTCCTATCTGGGATATTCCTTACCACTTTAGCAGATGCATCTGCAAAGCATGCTATTCAAGAACTCTCCTGCATAAATCTGCCTCAGATTCTGTGTCTGGGGACTCAGTATAAACACACAGACATAACAATTTTGCTCACACCTAGTGCAAGGGAATATACAGGATTTTGGAAAAGAAAATTTATATAATTATAATTTGAGTGCTCCCTTCGCTGAGATTTTTTTACATGCTTTCTACTGTCTCGTCTCCTGCCCGAAGTTCATCTACCCACCATGCTGCCATGTCCAAAACATTCCTAAAGACACGGATGTTGCACCCGCAATACTATTCCCTTTGTGCTCATTTCATCCGATCATCTTATTTAAAAGAGGAACAGAAAATTTCAACACTAAAGAGTAACTTTATTTTGAGACTAGACTTTAAAAACGAGTTACTTGGTACTCGAAGGCAAAGGTGCCACATTGAAAATGGCATCCTGTGTGCAGGAAAATGAAGCACTGCAATTCATCTACAGTGTATTCATTCTGCACACTTAATTCCCCCTACAGTTTCAGTTGCAATCACTGTGCCTTTTCCCTTTCTCTCTTCCTTTCTCACTTTAATCTTAAATTAATCTTAGGCTACGAAATAATATTTTTAGAAATGTCGAGAGACTGACATTGTTGGAGGATGGATTAAGCTGCTGCTTGCAATGCGGGCATCCCACATCAGAGTGCCATATCAAGTCCTGCCTGCTCTGCTTCTGGTCCAGCTTTCTGCTAATGCACATGGGAAGGCAGTTTCAGACCCCTGCCACCCAAAATTTAGACCAAGGTGGAGTTCCAGGCTTATAAGTTGGAGCTAGTCAAACGCTGGCCATTGAAGCAATTTGAGGAGTAAACTAGAGGACAGAAGATCACTCTCTCTCAGTCTCTCCTTTTCTCTGTGTCATTCTGCTTTTCAAATAAATAAACGAATAAATCTTTAAAAACGTTTATTGAAAGGTAATGCATAGGAATGCAATTGACATTTTAAGATTCAATGATTGTTGACAGCCCTTGTCTCAACTGTTGAGGAACTGTTTTTTTTTTTTTCTTCACACTACATGTTGCACTCTTTACTTAGTGTAGGGTTAATCTTATAAGCAAACTGAAAATAGATCTTTGTAAAAATTAAGAATGGAAATAGGAGAGGGAGGTGGAAGAAGGGTGGAAGCATAAGTAGAATGGAGGGTGAGGTGGGAAGTGTCACTGGATTCCTGAATCTATATATATATGATACTACACTTGAACTTAGCCAAAAGGCCGAGAAGCGATGAATCTACATATATGAAATACATGAAACTTGTATACCTTAAATACAATTTTTAAAATGTTTATTGAATAAAACTGCATATTTTCTAGGCTTCTATTGAAAATTGGATGGCTCAAGTAGGTTGCATATTAATGAAATCTCTAAAATAACTGAAATAAATTCATATTTATTTGAGTGTGAAAGTCTATTGACATTTTCCTATGACTTGATAGGTTGTGTAGAACAAAAAAGAAAAGAAAACCAATATCTGTCTTAGGTATTTCTATTCTGTGAGAATCTAGTGTTATTTGGTCAAGCGAATCATTTCTGAATTGAGTCTGGATAGTAGCAAGAAAGCAGGTAATGGAAACAATCAAGTTCAAACAAAAAGTTCAAGACTACAAATAGAAATACAAAAAAATAGTTAAATATCTTATAATATTAAATGTGCAATTAACTGACTAGATTTACTCAAGTTGTTAATGTATTAGATATTTTTTACTTTCATTTTTGTAATATAAACCAGAGGAATCACATATATGACACCATGAAGATCTGAGGGGAAAAAAAGACCATTACTTTCAGAGTTTTAGGGCAAAAGATGTCAATCCTACATTGTCTATACATGGAGGAAAAAGGAGAGAAGAATGAATATCGTTAGGAGGTGCACACAGTCATACAAGAAAAGTCCGTTCCCATCTTGAATGTCAAGGGTTCAAATAAAAATGATAATGAAGTGGGGGTCAGGTGTTTAGCCTAGTGATTAAGATGCTAGTTAAGACACTTGCATCCCAAATCAGATCTAGGTTCAATATCCAGCCCTGTTGCTGACAACAACCTCCTGTTAATGCAGACCAGGGGAGTGGACAGTTACGGATCAAGTAACTGGATTCCTGCCACTTACCTGGGAGACACAGACTGACTTCCCAGCTTCTGGTTTCAGACTACTTCTCACTCAAGGCATTTGGGAAGTAAACCAGTGTATGCGATCTCTCTCTCTCTATCTTCTCTTGCTCTTGTTCTCTCTCTCTCTTCACCTCTCCCTCTCTGGTAAGTAAAATCATCATCATAATTCTGAAATAAGATACCCTACTGATCCAAAAGAGTCTAATGTCCAGCACTGTATTTCTGACAAAAATACGTTGCTTTCTTTGTAGTATAACAAACACTATCTTTTCTCCTTCTTTTTAAATATTTATTTTATTTTGAAAGACAGAGTTACAGAGAGAGGTGAAGACAGAGAGAGAGGTTTTCCATCTGGTGGTTCACTCCCCAGATGGCTGCAACGGCTGGAGCTGCGCCAATACAAAGCCAGGAGCCAGGTGCTTCTTCCAGGTCTCCCACGTGGGTGCAAGGGCCCAAGGACTTGGGCCATCTTCCACTGCTTTCCCAGACCATAGCAGAGAGCTGGATTGGAAGAGGAGCAGCCGGGACTAGAACTGGCGCCCATATGGGATGCCAGCACTGCAGGCCAGGGCGTTAACCCACTGCGCCACTTTTCTCTTTGTCCCTCTTTTCTCCTTCTTAAAGCAAATAGCTTTCTCACCACACTCACAGCTTATATGGCTGACTATATTTAAATTTTGAACTAGCAGTTAATATTGAAAGTGTTCTGCCTCATCTCCTTCCATTAGTGTTTCATTATCTAAAGACTCTCAGTGTTGATATTTTATTGAGAATAAACATTTGCATAACTTTGCCTTTGAAAATCTGGCAATGATGTGGAAATGTTCAACTTCGTGTTTGTTCTTTGCTTTGCTTCTGTGCTCTAAACCAGGTGTTCCATGTATCACATCTCTAACTGTTTATATTACTAAAATAAGTTTATAAAAATATCTTAAATATATAAATATATCCTGTGATTGTGTCTGACCAAAATAACTATCATAGAAACCCAAAAGGTACTGTTGATTGGGGTCAGAACTCTATTCAATAAACACACTCTTCACTTTAAACAGGAAAACAAGTGCATGTTAAGTAGACTAGCATGAGTTCATTTTCCGAGAACATGTTCTCATCTTCAATTATAACAAGCCCTCACTGCAGGATTTCTGTGGTTGTATGTTTCTCATTTGAATATTATACCATAAATTATGAACTTATTTATTTGTTGGGCATTTGTATCTCTATTAACATTGTACCTCCTTTACTGACACCTTATGTGGTTCTCCACACTGACACTGCTTCAATGAAACGCAGGGTGAAGATAAAAGTCTTTTTATATTCTGTAACATTTAAATATTCAAATATGATTTGGAGTTGATAAGATTCAAAGGATCTTGAAGGCACTAAAGGGTTTAGTTACTGGAACTAATATCAAACAAAGATGAACATTTTCCCAACAGACCACAGAAGCTACAACATCCTGGACAACTTTTGGTGTGTCTACCCAGCACAAAGCTTTAGCTTTGATGGTCTTCCATCTTACCATCAGGAAAGACTCTAAACCAAGCTATAAACTGCTTCATATCACTTCATTTGAGCAGAAATGGTTAGACAATGGCAAATAACCATGATTTTAGAGGTAGTAATCTAAAAGTGAGACTGAGTCAGAGTTTTCTTCTTAGGGCTTACAAGTAAGAGAGTTGGCTCCTGGGGTTGAGAAACCCATTTTTAGTTATGTGAATAGAAATCTAGGGATAAAAGTGACTATTCAGAAAAAGAAAAAACTAATGATGTCACATTAGGGAGTGAAATGGCTTTCATTCACCGATACAAGGAATACTACTTGAACTTTCACTTTCTAAGTTCTGTTTGCCAGACCTCAAAAACAAGGAATAGTTTTTTGGCTATTCACTGCATTCACTTAATTCTTTTCTTAAGTTCATGGGTTTCGTGGATAAAAATATCCCTGTTACTGAAAGATCCCTGTAAGAAATACTGCACAGTATGCTTGATTATGTCAGCTTCACACTCATGCAACCATAAATTCATACTAACATTGTAACACATATGCTCTGTTTCCCAACTATCAGTATTTTATGGAAAATAAAAAGTCCTTCATTTTCTAGTATTCTACTTCGGAGAGTAGATATTCTATAATAGTGATGATGTAAAATGTTCATTTAGTCATTATGAAAACTACTTTAAGCCTTCAACATGTTTCCTTGAATGTCAGATCATCTGCTGAGTTCTGAATTTTCCATATTCACAGAGGTAAAAATAACAGAATACCTCATCTACAGGAATATAATAATTTCATGCCTTGTCTATATTTTTAAGAAGAGAAGGAGAAATTAGAGAGAGAGAGAACTTCCATCCTCTGGTTCACTCCCCAAATGACAGCAACAGCCAGGCCTGGGCAAGGTTGAAGCCAAGGAGCCACGAGTTTCCACTGAGTCTCCCATATGGGTGCAGGGGCCCAAGCGCTTATGTCATCCTCCACTGCTTTCTCAAGCACACTAGCAGAGAGCTGGATCAGAAGTGGAGCAGCCAGATTTGAACAGGTGCCCATTTGGGATGCTGGTACTGCAAATGGCTGCTGAACTCACTGCCACATAGCCAACCCTGACAAGTATTTGTTTTGTTTGTTTGCTTTTTAAATTAAGGGCTTGCATCTGCAAGTGTGGACATCGGTCTACCTGTAGTTCATAATATCCATGAGGACACCTATCTTTGAGCTCTATTCTGAGGAAAACAGTATCAACTCAATCAATCTAGAAACTGTGGTTCACAAAATCACCTAGGGCTCAGCTCCATGGTTACAGGAGACACTCACAAGATTACAACTAAAATTTATAACACATTGTAAATTGCAATCACAATTTATATCTAACTCCATATACAGTTACCATGAAATTCATTTGGCATTGTCAAATATGGATGAATTTCACTTATTATTACTCATCTACTTTTCAATATTTATTACTGCTTTTTAGATCCCTAAAACTTTGTCAGTGAAAAGCATAAGTGCATCCATACATACTTTTTATTATTTAACTTTTTTATTCATTAAAAGGTGATGGCAAGTTAGGAGAAAATTATAGCATATACTGCATATTAAATATTTTGCTGTCTGATTTGGTGATGGAATCAGTTTCAATATTAAATCCTTCTCACTGTATGTTTGTAAACCTTGTACAAGTTTCTGTCTAAATGATGGTTCAAACAATCTAGTCCTTACTTACAGAAAAACATAAAAGCAGCACACATTTAAATAATGTTATCAATCTTTCTAAAAATAAAAATTATAAAGCAAAGAGAAAAAAAAGTAGATGACTAAGGCCAACCAGCTGTGCTCACTAGCAAGTTTTGACTTACTCTGTGGAAATCTTGGCTATGGTGTCACAAGAACTGTACTCCACGCCTGTGAAGATCTCCTTGCAGTGTGCTGTCCGGACACCATTAAGCCAGTCACCTGTTGTGCGGAAGGTAGTGATGTCGACATTGCTTTGGTCCAGAAGGAGGTTTGATGGCCTGTGAGAAAAGAAAACACCAAAAGGACAGAGATCAGGAGCCAGCAGAGTTGTGACCTGTCAAAATTTGACACCAGTATCAGCAGGAACTTCCAGATTTCATGTGGTGCTCCTGTTCCTCTGTAGAATTTACCTGCTATGAAGGCTTTGTCTGTTCAAGCTCACAGCTTGGAGAAGACTGTATAATCATCATCACATTTAAGCGTCCCCTTCTCTACTCTTGGCTGTTTTTTAAATCATTGCAACTTTGACAGTGAGAGGTCTAAATATGTCTACAACGTGACTTTATAATAATTTAATTTGTTTAGTCAGTAAAGATGATTGTAATTTAGGATTTAATTATAGCAAACACCCATTGCATGCTTCTCAGCTTTGTGATGGAATCAGTTTCAGTGTCAAATCCTGCCCACTGTTGGTTGTATGCCCTTTTTGGTTGGAACCATCTAGATTTCACTTGCAAGAAGATATAAAAGCAGCACAGATTTGAATAATGTTACAAAGTAATGTAATCAAAATGGAAATCACAAAAGAAGTAGAAACAAGTCGATGAGTAATACGTGAAATTCATGCATACTTGGCAACCAAATGGATTTCATGATATCGATATAGATGACTAGATGATAGATTACATATTAGATAGATGATTGGTAGATCAATAGAAAGATATAAGCTATGACTATGATTCACATAACATGATTAGCGTTAAGTACAGGACACCATACTTATCAGCATTAAGAACAGAGTCCTTTAGGATTGTTTCATATAATTATGGGCCTGATGGTAGATATATGGCCACCTGCAAAATCTGATGATTCAAAAAAAAAGAGATATAAAGGAAATAGGGGAGACTATGCATGCTTCAGGAGCCAAAAGCAGCATCCTGTTAGTAATATGCCTTGGGCTTTTTTTCCCCCCAGCTCTCAGTGTCTTCTTTAATTTTCCTTTGACCCACAAGTCTGGGACTAGTTCCCAAGTCAACCTCTCTTTCTTCATTTCTTTTTCTATTAAGAAATGGAACGTAAGTACAAAGTACTTGTTGTCAGGTTATATTAAAAGTTCACAAACACTTGCAATATGCTAGGCACTACGCTATGACTCTTGACTACTATGCTATGCCATGTTGCATTTTACTTAATTTTTAAGCTATTTATGATTCCATGATGTGGCTTCTTGGGTTTTGTTTGCCATGAGGTCTAGTGATTGAGTGCACAGATACTGGACCCATATGACTGAGTATGTAACATACTATCTGTGTGACCTTGAAGATTTTTGTGTCTTGTCTGTTTCCTCATCTGTGAAGTGGGGAAGATGGTAATGGTACAGATTTCCCACAAATGAAGATGATGTGAGCCTGTGTAGCTAGTACTTACAGAAGAGCTAGCACATAACAAGCACTATCTGTTAGCCATTTGTTCCTCTTTACATATTTAAAACTTCAAAAATAAAGCAACATAATAAATACTAGTTTAAGAAAATTCAATGATGTTGTTCATTACACTTTTGACTAATGAGAAGTTTAGTCATGCAAAATATTAAATATGAATCCCTGTAAGAGTGGGAACTGAGGCCTCTTCAGAACAATCAATAACTTTTTACCAACTCACAATGATTCTACAGCCAGTGTTTAGAAATGGACATATATTCTGCCTTCTATCATTTGTTTTCATTATTGCAATAAGATATATCATTAACACTAAACTGTAGATATAATAATCTTTATTTTATAATTGAGAAGGCATATTTTGATTTATTTTTACTTTTTCAGAATTGTTATTCAGATCTTTAAAGGTTTACATGATATCCAGGTTGGATTTAATGTAATGTATTAATACTAATATCTTAACATTTTAAAATTTAAATTCTGAATATTAGAAGCTGTATAACTAAAACTTCATGTTTTTCTTACACTTGTAAAAATCAATGATTTGCTGAAATGGAATCCATCATGAGAATTTTTTAAATTCAACATTTGAAAACATTTAAATTCAATATCTTGGTATAAGAAGAAACCAAAACAAATGAGGCCTATATTGATATGCATTTATTTTTATTTTAGCAATAATTTTAACTCTACAATCTGATAATTCCAATAATATATTTAGAAATAGCATGAAGAACAAAATGAGCCATTTAGATGAAATGAAATTGTATACAGCTTTACTTATGAGTAACAACCATTGATTATCATTTAGGATAGATGGCAAAAGTTCCTGCTCTAAATGTGAAAATCTGTCTGAGAAGCACTTAAATATTTTTAACTGGAAAGCTATTATTATTAAGGATATTCCTTCAGCTCACTGCCTGATGTACAAGAGACATGCATCAGTTAGAAACTGATTTCCAAAACAGGACAATTTGGGATCATGCCCTAGACTTTCATACTACTGCTTAAAACACAGGAGAACCTTGTAAGCTGATTGTCAACTCATTTGGAATTTTTTGATGATACATTAAATTTATGTGATAGAAAGTGTCAAGGTTTAATGTAATTTTATACTAAGTTTAAGGAACACAATGAAACATTAACTTTTTTTCTGCTTGTATTTTCATCCTTCTTGTCTTGATCATTTCTTAAAGAGGAGGATAGCTGAGAAGTTTAGGGCTTTTCAATCTTCTTTGCATAGACTAAGCTCAATTATTTCAATCCTTTCTACTTAACGTACTTAAATTTATCGAGTTTTATAATTTTTGATGTGACATAATTTGGTTTTAACTAATTTCAAGAATTGCTTCTTAAAAAAAAGAAAAATACAACAAGGTTATGCATTATTTGACAAAGTAGTAATTGTCTTTCCATTAGGGATATCTAGAAATCTGTAAAATATAAATGACATTTTATAAATTATTAATTTGTTCATTTGTGGCACATATATGCAAATAACTTTCTATGATTTTTACTTATTTGAAAAAGTAAAACCCAAATAATTCTCGTAATTGAAAATGTTTTATTTTTGTTCTCCTAAGAGTATGACAAAGTAAAGACACAAATATAAAATACAGATTCTGACACTAACACAATATTCTTGAGTTGTCTTCATATAGATATAATGAGTGAAATAGCCTTTGTCACTAGCAAGCATTAAATATGGTATTGAATTCACTGGATAAGTCTCTGAATCAGTAAATATACCTGAAAGAAATAGCATTAAGTCAAATGTAAAACAAAATTCTATGAGAAAAATGAAGGCTTAGAAATGGGACAATATGTTATTAAAAGATCTCTAGAAATACACACACAAGCATGCACAAACACATGTCTATATCTACAGAAGCTGTAGCATAGAAACTAATGTCAATTTGCACCCCCCATGAATAGTAATTCAGGTTTATTTATGGGATTGTGAGTATAAAGAATCAAACCCCAGGACATTTATTCAGAATATTTATGAAGTGTGCCTAATAACAAAATGTAGAAATTTTTCTTCTCAATTCAGAATGGTTTGTAGTTTTAAACTCAACACTTTAGGCAGACTCAACAAGAGTTTGAAAAAAAAAAAAACTAATATAAACAAATTGAAATAGAACAGGACGTGCAGATTAGGGATTAAAGTGACCCCAACTGAGTTTTTCTGTTTATGACTTGGATCAAAGTGCAACCAAGACAAAAAAAAAATGACCTAATTTTAATGCCAGTGACCTCAGAATAACCAGCCCTGCAAAGTATCATTTTTCCACTTCCAGGATTTCTCCAGGGATTTCAAATAAAAATTGGTTTCTTTCCTCCTCCGAGAGGACATCTGGAGAGTTTATCAATGGATAGGAATTTGTCTCTCACTGTGAAGAGCCTGTGATGTCTCTTCATGCGCACCAAGGGAATCTGTGCTTTTTGAGCAGCTGCAGGCGTTGGCGTTTTTTTAGACCCAGCCCCAGACGCTGGGTCTGAAGGGGAAATTTATAGGCTGGTTGATGTGCACCGTGAGCTCACACTTTTACTAGACAAATTAGATAGGTTTCAATCCGTGCAGCTGTAAACGATGTCCTACAGAGTTCCACCTGATCTTTTACAGTTTTTCATAAATCAGTGCCTACTGGCCTCAGACTGCAGTCATTAAAAAGAAATCATGGAAATTACAAGTTTGCTCTGGGGAAGCAAAAAATAACTTTCCTCCCTTTCTTTCTCCATCTCTCTGGTTAGGTTTCTGAATTATTCTTTTATGAGTATTTGTACTGTTTTATTAAAGAGGTACAGATTTTCTCCCCATCAACACCCATTTTGCTGCAATTGGTTGCACAGTAATTAGCATTAGGTACAGGTAAACAAATGTCATTTAAAGACTGCCAATTCCAAGAACATCTCCTGATAATGGCCTTCTTACAACATCACCTTAGAATTTTGATCACTAGGATTTAACAAGACATTACCTTTTTACAATGTGAGACTTTTTTGTTTACAAGGACTTTGTTTTTCATCCAGCAAATAATGATTAATACACTTTTGTTGAATAAATGGGTAGATGTTTATTAAATTGAGAAGGAGATATATTAAGGGTGCATGTTTTAACACTACAATTATTATATGTTGTGAATAATTTCAGGGAATAAATAAAATCACAAGAGTAGTTTCTTAAAACCAAAACACTAATGTATTATCTGAAAAAAGTATTATACTTTTAAATATATTATAAACAGTACATTTTACAACTTATTTTTAATTTATTTTAATTCAAATTATATAATCACTGTATTTTAGGTGGAGAATCTTATATTTGTCAGTGTATTTTAACACACATTGATGATGATCATGACCTTTCTTATCTCTAACATTAAAAATCCAGGTAAGATTAAAAGAATTTTTCATTAGTAAAAATGAATCTGAATATTTACAGTACCCAACAGAAAAGTAGCACACAAATGACACATTAAAGAGAAGTAAAGTCATTGTGTTTATTTGAATTGTCTCTAGGTCTCATGGACAAAAATCTTAGCATTTATAGCTGTTGCATTTGGTTTAATTCCTCCCATGGTAACATGAGCTACTGTGATATTAAGAATTAAAAAAGA